GGGAGAGAAGTTTTGTAGCGATAATCAAGCTTAGTTAGTTGTTCGTCCACCAATTACTTTACTACAGTTGGAGAGTTGAATACTGGAGGAGTATGAGGGAAACAATATATAAGTCTCAAAAATATTCTACAGGATGCCAGTCGACATTGGCTTAAATGGTATTCGATATAAAAGGTGGCGAATTTGGAAAGATAAGCACATTGATCACATGTTTAGTTATTTTAACTCATTTGCTGAAGCTCGTACAATAGAGCTTTTTGTCAAACAACAAGATAATCATTTTAGCTTTGGAGGTTCAACCCCAGATCCATCACCTTCTCCATCAAATCCAAGTCCATTAGTTGAGATGTCCTATCATGACGTGCATAATTCACATGATGAGGTAGGTTCTTCAAGTTTTGAGCACTTTGTTAGACACATTGAAAAGTCATTATCACTTAATCCACAGGAAATGTGACAAGGTAGCTTGGTTGGAGATTTTGATTTTATTACGGCATAACAGGATGATGAAAATGATGAAGAGGAGGACCTTGATGATGAAGAAGATGAGCAATTGTTGGATGTGCAGAATTTGGATGAACACTTGATACCACAATCTCAATTCCAATCTCAATCTCAATGTCAACAACGTCCTAGTCACTACTCAACAATTAATTTAGATACAATGCATTGTAATGTGAGTGGATTTGGTTCAAGTTCAAGCATAGGGGGAGCGAATAATTTGTCACTTGGTCAAGTATTTCGCACCAAAGATGAAGTGATGTTTGTTGTTAAATATTACAACATCCGAAGAGATGTTTAATATAAAGTTTATGAATTTGATCACATAAAATTTTATTACAAGTGTGTGAAGTTTGACATTTACTGTAATTAGAGTATACGTGTCACTTTTCACTAGAAATTGGAGTTATGGAAAGTGTGAAAATTGACAGAACCACACATATGTGTCCTTCTAGAATCTATGAATCAACATGCTCAAATAAATTATAGTATTAGCTGTGCCCATATATATCCCATGATACAAGCAGATCTGACGAACAAAAATTAAATCTCTACAAACATCAATAGAGTCAAAGTTGAGATAAGACAACATATAGAAAAGTATGACTCACCAAATAGAAAGCTATTGCTATGATATATGGAGATTGGGAAGAATCATATAATGAACATCCAAGATAGTTAGGTACCTTGCAATCTTATATGTCAGGTACTATTATCTAAATGCAAACTGGACCATATTATGTTGGTGATGTTATAGATTCTAGTTGCTTTATGTTTCATCGTCTTCTCTGGACCTATCCACCATGCATAGAGACATTTAAATATTGCAAAAAATTGATTTCAATTAATGGAACACATTTATACGGCAAGTATAGGGCACAGAGGCAAAGAGGCAACTTGCTAGTGGTAAAAAATTTTCACAAACCTTAGGTTGTACATGGTCATCCTCATCATGTGCCTTATCTGGATATTGGCGTCTACTAGTACGTGTACCAGCAGGCAAACGACGCCTGAAAGATCGTCTATCTGGTGCTTGGGAGGCATGAAGTGCTATACCATCAGGCAAATCCCTAAGCTCTAGATCCTTTGGGGCTCCATCTAGCGATAAAAATCTATTCACTACTGACAAATACCATTGGAAATACTCGACAGAGGGATGATTATCATCAGCTAGCGGATAATGAACTTGCCGCTCCCTATGTGCCTCGCATGCAGCATGTCATGTCACATGATACTCAGGCCACCAAATATCTAGATCACCCCTTCCATCCTTAGCGTGCAACCGATCAATGTTTATGGGGACGATTGGTATGTGTTGTGCTCCACCAAATTGTCGAACCACGCGATCAGTAAGATGTCACTTAATCACAGCAAACTGGATAAGAGCAGTCACAAATGCCCATACATTAGCCTCATCATAAACAAAACGAGGTATAACATTCCTCACCTCATTATTATTGTAGGACATCCACCTAAACTGAAATAATCAATAATAAATATTAGACTAATAATCTTTATAATTGAATAGAAGACTTAGTCCCATATGTCATATTTTTACTTACTCCATTAATGCCAATTGAATCAATGATCTTCCTATATCGTAACAACTTATCTCTGTGTGATCTCATTGATGACCTATAACTTTTCCACCTAAAATGAACATAATTGAATTTCATACTTGCATATTTAACATATATAAATATACTATTATAAATTAAATGAACATACCTCAATGCTAGTAGAAAAGTAAGTAAATAATGGTGTCTAGGGGCCAATTGAAGTATTCTGTACCATGCCTAAGACTGTAGAAGGGGTAGATAACTCACAATCTCAATGACATTATATTTAACTACACGACAAAGTTCACAATAAAGAGATCCTACAACAGTAGACCCCAACTATAGTTTGTAATTAATTCCAATAATATCAATGAGAAGAGGAAGCCACTTCATATGAACCTTAAAACCGGATTTATCTGGGAACAGTCCTCCGCCCAATAGAACCATTATGTACGCTCTGGTATAACGGATAATAGTCTCCTCATCAGCATTATGGGATAATGCTCCAAATGTATCTATGAACCAGTGTAGATTTACGAAAAATCCTTTTATGTTTGCCTTTTGTGAAACTACTCCAAGTAAATCTTCACACAATGCCCATATATCTCAATCATAAAATTTATCCCATTGTCCAATGCACCCACTCACACAGAGCTTATCAACATCCAAGCCTAATTGAAACATAACATCCTCCAAAATAATCGTACATTTTACGTATGGAAGATGAAATGTATGTGACTCATAACTCCAATGCTCCACAAGTGCACTAATGAGAGTCCTATCATAATCAAATATGGGCATCATCTGAGCAACATGCCAAAAATCACTTTACTTAAGATATGGTTCTATTCTCGAATCTAAAGCAACCATCGTATTATAGGGTCTATTTTTTAAAAGCAAGAGTATGTTTAGTTTCACAATAAGAAACTCTAAAAAATGCAGATTTATAAAGTATGTTTAATTTTCTTTATTAAGTTAACAACATTTATATTCAAGTAAAATCAACAGTGTTTCAAACATACGTTTAAAAAGGTAAAAATATCTTATTTGAGGATCATATGAAGGGAAATTACACCTATGGATATATGTCGAGATCATTTTAGTTATAAAACATTACTCGGTAATTACATCCCTATTGTTCCAAATAACTACCCACACAGCAATTAATCCCTTCAAAGTTGGGGTTAAATAGAAATATAATAGCACTGACGTGAACCTTTCAAAATCAACCGATAGTGCTTTTGCTGTATTTGCACCAGCCTGTGTTTTAATCATCATATAGTATATATCTTGTTACAAACTTTCGAATTTTGCTAGAATTGCTGCGTGTTTCTGTTGAAACTACATTAACTTGGTGCGCTTGAAAGACATGCACAAGCAAATAGTCAAACATTATAATATATACGTATGGCATTACACGCATGCATATGACTTGAAAGACCAATGGCTATCAAGAGAAGGTAAAGTGTCAGCGTCGACAACTATGCTCAGTGGTACCTGTCTTTCACGTAGAAAAGGCTATGTTTGCAAGAGTGATTTATTTAAGTTATATGGTCTGTGCAGTAAATAATACTTAATTTTATTAATTAATTTAGGATAGAGTTATTTATTTCATAAAATTACTTAAACAAACTCATTGTTTAAAGAATTAACAAAAACAATTATTTTATTAAAAATTAAGGAATTGCATGTACTGATAGATAAAGAGTGCATATATAATTTTTTTCTTTCTTTAACAAAAACGTGAATCACATCTGTTAGTGTTGTTTTATAATTCATCTTTTATTTCTCTTTTTTCTATAGTTGCAAAATAATAATATAAAATATTGTATCAAGTAAAATTTCTGCCTGAAAACTCAAAAATTTCGAGAGTGACACGTCAAGAAAGGGTAAGGAGCTGGACCACATGCTTAAGTTCGACCATCTATTATCGTCTACTGTAGTCTCCAAGAAGCTAGTTGACGCTAAATTCTTGTAATCTCAATAGAATAGTAGGCTTTGGAACATGATTAATTAGGATACTGGCATCCATTAATTCTATATAGAATAAAAATCAATTCTGAATGATTAAGCTTCCTCCCACTTGCGCTCTTTTCTTTACCAAACAAGGATGTTTTTCTCACTTTCAGCTCAATTGCTCATCCTTATTCTAACCAAAGCCCCACGAGAAAATGAAGGGAGGGGAACACTAAAGCCCCACTACGAGAACACGAATTTCTTTCTCTATCCACGTAAGATTGTAACTTGTTCCACACAATGACTTTAAACTAGCTTTTGCCAAGTTGGACAAGGGCAACTTAATTCTTAGAAATAGCTATAAAAAAAGTTGTTATGTATGATCACAATAGGGATGCGTGAATCAAAGCAACCGATAACCATATTGCCCGTAAGGAATTAATTCTGAACTACTTCAAGTGAGGGAGACATTCAACTACGGTGATTTGTGAACAAACCTAAAATAAAATGGCCGGGTGCCATATTTGCTTTATCCAAGTTAAACATCATTTGTTTAATTTGCAAGATTCTGAAATTTTAAGGATTTATTCGAGAAAGTTAGAAAGAGGAGTACTTGCAAATCTACAAGCTGAAAATATTAAGATAATATACTAATAACCAAAAAGGTTATTTATAATTAACTCATTACATGACAATATAAACATTACATATTTAAGGTACAACAGCAGCATACCTGATTAAACCTAGAAGGCACTGTACATAAGGGAATATAAAAACCTAAAAGGAACGAAAGACATAGTTTCCATACACACACCACATTTCCCTCAAGTCTAAGCAAAGTCTTGATGTAAGAGTTCTCCCATAACTTATTATTACATCTTACCTTTCCTTATTACCATTTATACATTATATATATATATATATATATATATATATATATATCTTATATATAAAAGTTTAATGATATAAACAGGTTTTATCTTCTTAAGGGTAGTAAGGGAAACCCCAGAGATTAGGATCTTCACCATATTCATATTCATTACCAGCAATGTCAAAACGAGGAGGACTAAGCAACATTCCTTCAGCCATATTGACCAGAATATTAGGCATATCAAAGATCAAGTCCTCATCCACAAACTGATTCCCCCCTGAAATCTCTTGTGCGACAGAGACTGAAACGTTCCCTCCTCGGCTTCCATCAATGCCCGTTATTGCATCATTGGCTGCCCCAACAGCAGCTGCAGCACTAGCTGCAGCCATCTGAATATCACGGGCAGAGGAAGATGCAGGGACGGGCAAGGAAGAAGCGGAGTTAGGGAAGTTAAGTTCAGCATCCTTACCCTTAAGAGCAAGCGCTGCCACATCATAAGCAATAGCTGCCATTTCAGGTGTAGCAAATGTCCCTAACCAAATCCTGTTGGGCTTCTTGGGCTCACGGATTTCAGAAACCCATTTTCCACTACTCCTACGCCTCACTCCTCGATACACAGGGTGGCGCCCTGTTGCTGCAGAAGAAGAAGAGGCTCTGCTGCTTGATGCAGTGTTACCGTTGCTGGAACGCATGGTGGTGATGTGAAGAAATTGTATGTTGGCAGTTGAAGAAGGTGAGGGAATTGGTTGATGGCAGTTGGCAGTTGAAGGACGCCATTTATTGGGGTGAGAATTGTGAACGCTGGAGAAGGAGTTCTGAGATGGAAGTGCAAACCAGTTGTTGCTGAACTACGGTGTGTGAAGGACTGGGGTGTAAGCCAGCTTTGTGGTGTTGGATATCTGGGTTGGAGTTGGAGAGCGCGTTCTGTATTACAATATGAAAATTGAAAAATGCAAAATGGAAAGCTACTTCCCCTTTAAACCATGTCAAAATTATCAACAGTGATTGTGCACTTTGTCCATCAATCCATATACACATCACTAACCACCAGTTTTGTTTTTTCAACAGAGATTTGATATATTCCAGAGAATACCATTTCATCTTATTATTGTGCAACACGTTCTTATTATATAATTTAGATTGCTGACAAGAAAATTTTTCAATGGCTATTTTTTATCGGACAAGGTTTTTTTCCCTTGGTAACCCTTCTTTTTGTCTCTCCAATTTAGTAGGGTTTATGCTGCTGCTTCATTTATCAGAATTCGAAGGCAACACGTTGTTTCTCTTCGTCAGCACAAATTATTTGCAAACAAATTTTACCTTTTCACTATATATATCGATCGAAAATGTTTCTTTCTTTAACATTTTCCATGGCACCCAAGTCCCCACAATTTTAAGTGTGGGTGTGATATGAAGAGAGAAAAAAAAATATAAACAAATATATATATATATATATATTGGCATCTAAATGCTGCAGACATGTCAATTGTTGAGACTATGCTATGCATGTGCTATGATCGATCAAAATCATAAAACTAGAATGAGACAGCGGTTCGGAGTGTTGACTGTTTCTGATAGATATAGGGACTGTGATAAATATTCGGGTATCGTATTGACATTCTCTTTTTACAGATCTATTAGTATCTGTCGTAAGCAAGTAAAAGTGATAACGATTTATTGGCTTTTTTTTAATAAAATATTTTTATTTTTAACTGTTTCAAAAACAATATTAAAAAATTATTTATATATATAACATTTAAAGTTTTATAGGAATTAAGAAAATTTTATACAAAGTTATTATTTAATTTCTATTATATTTTTATTTATTATACTAATTAATATTGCACTTATTTATTTATTATTAAATGCATATAATTTATTAAGGATGAAATTATTAAAATTATTTTTTCATTAATTTTATAAAATGATAGTAAAAAATAAATAAATAAATTTAGTAAAGTATTACTATTATTATTTTTTAATATTGGTCTCAAGCACAGGAGACTTCGGCTTCAAGTCTCACTAGAACAGGAGCAAGAAATAAAGAGAAATTCCAGCATCATTATTGAGTAGGATAAATTGCCACGAGATCTCTTTGCCATTTATTTTAGGTGCATGCACCTTCTAAACTTTTATCCATGTCCCTAAGATTAATATACGGTGAAAATCCACCTGCAACTAAGAATCCCTTTTCAACAAATCACATGACTCAAATAGTTAACACAGGAGTGTAAAGCCTTAATTAATATATACATATGCGTGGGATTGATATATTAATAAGAAATTTTTTGCTTAAAATTAACCTACTGTGTATAGAATTTTTCAATTTTAATTATAATTATGAATTATGAGTATTGATTAGTTTTAGTACCTTTAAATTTTGAAACACTTGATGATCTCTCGCCTTAAACCAAAAACAAAAAATCACAATCCCTCAGTCATGACAAGTCTAAGTTAATTTAGCACCTAAGCGATCATTTGGACTACCGCGCCCGGCCATGTAAATAATTGAGAAACAACGTATAAATATTTCTAGTAGTTATGGCAATGGCCAAATTAGTTATGTTTCTCTATATCTTCTGATGTTTTGTAGATAAATAATAATAATTTTTAAAAAATTCTTTCAGCACCTGTGATTTGGTGGAAACTCTCCGTCACTTACCTGAAGGGATGGTATCACTAGCTTCAAAGGGGGTGTATATATATATAGGTTTGAAGGGTTTTAATAGTGTCTCGAGTTTTACACACATGAGCTTGTGGACAGAGTCAAAGACACATGAAAACACTTATTAGGAGGGATTAAAAAAATACCCTCCAATAAAAGTTCTCTAAGGCTTTTATCACCAATTATTTTTCACAGCCAAAACTCAGATAGAATCCCTAAAAGATTATCACGGGATAATATTTAGCAATGGTAATTAAACTTTTGTATAACTTGTTCAATGAGCTGCTTAAAAGAATTATGTTCATTGAGCCTATCTGATTAAGCTATTTGTTAATTATCTTCAAATTTTCGTATTCAATATCAGTAACAGTGTTTTTTTTTTTTTTTAAAAAAAAAAAGAGGATTCAGTAACAGTGCTGGCTTTTGACAACTATCACCCTCTCATTCTGATGGTTGAAATAAAATAATAGAGGCTGAAATTTGAAGTTTCAAATAGACGTTAACTATTCTTGAGACGGAGCAACTGCCAATGAATTGATTGAGAAAAGACATATCCGAATATGTGAGATTATTTAAGTTTCACTATTAAAAACAACTCAAAGGGCTATAAACTATCACCAACGTTACAAGACATATAAAAGGCCATTCTCAAGAATTTGATGACTTGAACCAATCCATTTATCTTTGATTTACCAAACCCTAACCACATCATTATGTTTCAGATAGTTGGATACCCGAAAGAGTTACAAAATATTTAATTTTCTTTAATGTTATGTTCCTTGTTTATCTTCTTGAAATCTTCTATATTATGCCCATTATAGTTTTTCAAATTACCCTCATAGTAACTGTATTCAAGTTTCAAAGAATTTGATGCAAAACTAAATAGGTTATAGCGGTTAAAAAAAAATAAAACGAGGAAAAGAAGCTCGATCTGTATAAAAAATGGGAATGAGTGCCCTATGCGAGGGGAGTCACTTTCAGTTGTCCATAATGGAGCTTAGCAATGAGGTTTAAGTGCATGCACTTATATATGAAAAAGATGAATTGGTATTATCGCTTCTTTTACCAACCAATCACGTGGTAGCAAAAGTACCAGCTTGTAATACATAACAAAGATCAATAGTTAGGATTCACAAATAGTAACTTTCAAACTCTTTTTTAGCAGAAAGGAGGGCCTTTGGCCCAAAATTCTTTTTACAACCTTGATTTATTTACATAAAATTAAATATATAATTTTAAAACAATATAAGAATAAAGTATAATTTACAAAATAAAACTATTCAATTAATAAAATAACTTCACAAATATTTATTTAAATCAATATAAGTTACACAATAATTTTATAAAATATGATCAACTTGACGCAAGTTTTTTCAAAAAATTTTAGTAGATAGTCTTAAAATAATTAAATGAATTTTCTTCCGACAAAGCTTTGTATCGCTAAGATAAAAAGCAAAGTTTTAATATATTGTCATATGATATGGATAGAATTAATGTGTTTCTTATTTCTACATAGACAAAAGTTTATCAAATGAATCTTCCTTTTGATGGTTGACATAGGCAGGGGTGGCACGAGTTTCGAATTTTTCTTAAGTAATTAATCATGTAAATAAATGCTATACATGGATGTATAATTCATTAATATTTAATTTCTTGACACAATTTCATAAATAAATAAATAATCTTCACACCTTGCACTCAACAACTCCTAAAAGAATGATCTTGAAATATGAAATAAACAAAGTTTTACCGAAAAGGAAAATGACCAAATCTTGTGTTTCTGGAGAAAAAGTATGTAACATATATGGCGAAGTTACAGAGTCCCTATTTACGCATAATTAATATTAGCAATTCTTTTTTTACCTAATATTGGGATTTACTCGTCCACATCAAATGGAAAAATGGAAAAATCATAGGTCTAATTTCTTATCAAATTGAGAATGAAGCTATAGCAATTTATGTGGGGCTTCCACACTCCACGAACAGAACCAATTCATTGTGCTCCACATTTAGCTGTTGATATATGTATCTTGTATATAATATTATGTTAGATTCATTTATTTAAAAATAATAAGTTTCTTAATTTTAAAGTTTCTAAAAACTAAATTATTCTGAGACAGTCACTTGATGTATACACCACAAGAAAATTTTGAATATGATAAAAATAAAATAACAGAGGGGGAAATTGTATTGGATAGCAGAAGGATTTGCCGCTACTGCGTATTTATTATATAATATTTTTCCCTTTCATTTATGATAGAGGTTTTGAGACATCAAAACTTTAGTTTTCAACTCTGAATTCAGGACATTAATTTACGAGGCCATGGTAATTGGGATTGCGACTGTGCTAAATTATTAACTGATATTTTTATTTGGGTCCCAAAATGACCTATGGTCTATGCTTTTAGCCTCAGGTCCATGGAATCTTGTTATTCAATTCTTGTATGTTAAATTTGACTCTATATTTTTTTTATTAATGAATAACTAATTTAAGTAATATATATTTATTTCTTTTAAATAAACTCTCAATTTATATTTTATTTTTCACACAACATAAAAAATCGACATTTGTTTTGGACTAAAATATTTACTTGTATGATTGAAAAAATAACCAAACTTTATATTTTAATTAGTTGTGCAATTTATTTTCAGTATACTATATTTTTATTCTTCTCCAATGTTGTAATTTAAATTAAAATACAAACTAGCGCCCATACAACACTAATTAATAATTTTTAAAAAATTATTTATTAGTTCTTTGATTAATATTTTTAAAAAAAATTATATTAATATAAGTTTAAAAACTCTTACACTTGACTTGAGTCTTTTATTTAACTTGCATCTAATAGTAAGTAAAGTAATAAATTATAATTCGTTAAATATAAATTAAATGAAATGCTCAAATTAAGTATAAGAACTTTTTGATTTATATTCCTGAAAGAAGATCTTAACTTAATATTTTAGAAAAAAATTTAATAAAATTTTAACTAGTTAAATTTTTTTTAACACACTATATTAAATTAATAGACATAAAAATTATATATATATATATATATATATATATATATATATAATCCTAGAAAACAAGCCACTGACTATT